ATAACAAGAAAATAAAAATAAAAATAAAAAAAGAATAAAATAGTTGTGTTTTGTTGTTTATTATATTGAAGATAATATGGAAGATAAATCCATGAAATCATCATCTCTGATAATATTTCCTTGTATATGCTCCTTACCTTATAAAGAACAAAATCATAACGCGTTATGTTTTTCATTTGGAAAATGAATCCTAGTCAAGGTATGTTTTCCATTGATATTTCAATACAAATCTTACCCCCGATAATTATTATAATTGGCCTTTTTTGGCTTTTTCACACTGGGTAACCCAAAAATTGTTGCACATGATATCATGTACTATTGTAAGATGAGAATGTGTATGTCAACTTGTTCTTATTTTTCTAAGCTGCCATTAATCAAACAGTTAGTGATCTAATCTTATCAACTTTTACATTTTCTCACCATGAAATCAGAAAAGGCTCAGGTAAGTTGTTATAAACATTGATAATGAGATTGTCATTGGTAACAGAGTAAATATCAGGCCCCGGAAACTGTCCATTGATCAGAATCCCCTGAAAAATAATAATAATAATAAATAAATAAATAAATAAATAAATAAAGAACCGAATCAACAACCTGCCTCCGTCCTGTATCAAATTTCAACCCAAAAGACCAAAAGACACCAAACCCATTTTCCCAAGAAACAAACAGACTCAAACCCACCTGCTGACGAACCCCAAGTGGGTATATATCACCATAGGTCACATTCCACTCAAAGAACCTATAAGGACTGTCCGCTGTGACAGCAATAGCCATGATCATCAAAACAGCCCATCTGAACCCAAGAATGGACCCTCTGATGAACATCATTTCTCAACCTAGAAAAGAAAACCGGAGATGGTTTTTGATCTTTCAGAGCAGAAATTCAAGAAAATCAAAGAAAGATTTGTTCTTGAATTGAGTGATGAAGAAGAGCTCAACAAGAAGTCTGCATTTAAAGAGAAGTGACGAGCATGGGAGGGAAAAGAGTTTGCCCGTGTTGATTCGACACGTATTTTGATGGACGGTCGTGATGGGGGGGAAGGAAAATATGGAAGGGAGTAGGCAATAAATATTACGCGGAAGGAATATTAAGGGCCTAAGTGTGCAGTTTCTTTGATCTT